AACAGAAATTTATTTTTCCTGGGAATCAGTTATCATGACTACTTTTGTAACTGGTAACCACTCTCCGGTTCTCAAGTTTTAATTTTGAGAAGCAGTTTCAATTACTGGTAATCACAAAATTTAGAAACGGTGCAACTTTTTTTTTTTTCAGAATCTGTTTATTAATAAAAACATTTTAATTGGGCTACATTTTATTGTTTATTTATATGACATAACATCAGTAAATAGTTGAAGATAATTATTAAATAGATTATTTTAGAATCATGGCATAAATTTAAAAGTAAAAAAGATGTAGGTATGTTGTTATTTTATTTTGTTTTATAAAATATTACAAAAAAAAAGTTAAACTAAGAACCAAAATGAATAACCCTTTTCAAACCAGTATTCTTGATTATTGTAAAAACCAATAACTGAACTGGTAACCAATAATCTGTTTTTGGGATTATTTTAGTATCCTGTAATTGATTGTTACTATTTCTTAAAAAAAACAACTGAAAAACGTTATCCAATTTTTCCAGAAGTATTGTCAATTCTTGATTTTATTACATATTTCCATAAAAGTCGAGTCATAGTTTTTAAATTTATTTCTTTTTAACTGGGTTATAAATGTTTAAACAAAAAATTAAGTTCAATAACTATGCTATATTGTTTGTTATTGTTGAATCTGTTAATTGCAAAATACAGGGTGGTTTTTTTTTTTTACAATCCATTGATTATCTCTTTTTTTTAGGAAAATTGATTTTGGTTTTTTCAGTGATTATTGAATTTTTTAATGATCTTATTTACAATATTTTCAAAATTCTATCATTATTCTGTACTCTGTAAACACATTAAATATTGATTTTTAAATAGCAATTCCTTTTTTCAAACTAGATTTAAGTGGTATGTTTTTTTAAGACTGAATATGTACAACATTAATATTGGATTAATCATGAGTTAAAATTATGCCTAGGAATGTTTTTTTCTGATTTCTAATGAAGGATTATCTAAAAATATACATGGAATTTACTATCATTCTCTACTCCAGTCTAAATTTTAAATTATTTTAACTCTTGAAACAGTATATTTCTTGTAAATGTTGTCTATCAAAACTTTTAGAAAAATTTGCTTTAATTTCTCTGTTGAAAAGAGGAGGTTTGCTATTTTAAAATCAAAAGTTAATATTTATTAAAGGTATGAGGTTCCATAGTGTTTGTTACGATTGTAAAAATCAGAAATTAAATTAATTTAAAATCTTCCTAAAAAATGTTCGACCATGTTAAAAAATCACACAAAAAATATATGTGGTTATAATGTTTTTTATTTTATTAAATTTATAGAAAAATAAGACAATTTTATTGTAGTAATTTGTTCACTTATTATTAGCAATAATTCCTAATCTGAAAAACTTTTCCTAAATTTTCCTATTAGCTATTCAAAACTATTGGATTTATAACTGACTGATTTATTTTTTTGACTGGATAGTAACCCAGTTAAATTAAACAAACACAATTTGAAAAATAAAAATCATATTATACAACTAATACATTAATCCAAGTATTTACTTTCATTAATAATTAAAAATTTTAACTTAGTTATTATTAACTATACAAATTCCATTACAAGTCTTTGTTGTCGAGACTATCTCAGTTCATCGATTTGTTTGACTTTTAATAAGTTCCTTGATGAAGGAGTCTTTTCCTCCGTCTGGAAAAGTAATATTGTAACACTGATCTTTAAATCAGGAGATTCTACTTATATGCCTATTTCTGGATTAATGTTTTTAGAGAACATTTTCGATTCAAATACAGAGATTACTCTTGCTGACAATCTTGGTTGACCAACATGTATTCTTTCTTAAGCGATTGACATCTACAACTAGTGCCTTTGATTTTATACTGTATATGCACAATTTTTGTTAGGGTAACAAGTCGATGTTGTTTACACAGACTTTTCTAAAGTTTTTAATTAGATTGATTATATCACACATTGATTTATATTCTGGATTTCTGAATGCGTACAGTTTGTAATTTCTTTGGTATTAAATCTAAACAATTTAAAGTATTATCTGGTGCCCCTTAAGGTAGTGATTAAGGTAGGTACTTTGCTGTTCAAAGTTTGTTTTCTACTATTTGCAGATGATGCCAAGATATTTCATATGGTAGCACCCATGGAAGACAGTAAAATACTCCAAAGCATTCTTAATACACTTTCAGTCTGGTTATCCCCAAACTTTAGGAAATGTAAAGTAACAGAGACTCGAGAAATGATATTATTTGATTACCATCTCGGGGGTGTGAAGCTTGATCATGTGTTAACCAAATTAAAGATTTGGGGCTACTATATATCCCATCATTAGATTTTCGCGCCTTCATATCAATTACATAGTCTGTAAAGCAGTGAGTGAATGTTATCTCTTATTAATAATTTATCTTATCATTTGTTTAATTTCAATATTTATTGTATGTATATCAATTACTATCGTTGTAAAATCCGAATGGCGTTAATTTATAAAAATAAATAAAATTACAACACAATATAATAATTAATCAATTTTTTTGTTCTGTATTACTCTTATATTCAATTTAATTTGAAGTTTGAGAAGTATTAATGGAATTTTGGTGTATTATGTGTGAATGACAAAATTAATTTATACTTGTATATACTATACTATATTTTACAATTGGGTGTAAAATGTTAAATTATATGTTGTAATTAAATCAAGGTAAATTCAGTTATTAAATTAAAAAAATAATTAGAAGAGAGATATAATAGTGTAAAGTAAAGTGTGTACCAAAAGATTTAATTTGAGTTGTATGTTCATATTATTCATTCAGTCTATTTAAGAAATAAGGGTTGCATGGAGAGGCATGTATTTGACACATTCCAAACTTGGATATTTACAATAGACTACTGAGCCTACAATTCAATTTAAAAAAAATAAATAAAATAAATAGTTAAGTTTTTATATTTGATATGATGCGAGTAATTATTGTGTTATTTATTACTATAGTAGTATCTATACTTAAAAATGTATATATATAATAATGCTGTAGACATACTAACATACTCTGTACCTCTTTTTTTAAGAGCCTTTTTTGTTTCCTATGAAAATATGAAATCTGTGCAGACAAATTGTTGGGAGGCTAAAAGTTAGAATCACCAATAGACATCCTTGATATTGACACCATATGTATACACAATTTTGTCCTGTTGGTTTCAATTGGAGGGTCTATAAGAGTGTACAAATTTAAAAAACACCTTTCCCCCTCAACAACATAGTGAAGTTTACATTGAAATTCAATTAAAATTGTATCGTTTTAATCCGTCCATAAAAAGAACTCTAATTTTCGAGTTTGAGCTCATATGGTTCAGAGTAAGCTACTAAAAGTATCCAAATGTACGGAGAAAATATATACAGGGTGATCAATCTAACGTAAGGTACTCATTATCTCTGAAAGTTTTAACTTTTTTCGGAATTTCTTTTATAGACAATTTAAGTAGCAAGTAGCTCTTTAATTTTACATTTTTGTTATTTTTTTGTCATCCTTTTTTGGGGGAATAAAACTGCTTCCTACTTTTGATTTTCAAATATCAACTACTTTTAAAAATTCTATAAATAGATGAAATGCCTATTAGTTAAAATAAATTTTAGATTTCTGTCAATCCATTGATAAGAAATTCCACTTTTAAGTTTGGATTTGAGGAGAGTAGTGGAGCATTATTAACACGCCATGCACGATACCATCACACAAATGATATTTTAAGAATGGAATATCTCGTTAACGGATTGACTAAAATCAAAAATGTCAACACTAAAATTTATTTTAACTAATACTCTATCTATTTATGGAATTTTTAATATAGAGTGCCATTTGAAAATAAAAAGTAGATAGTGGGTGGTTTTAGTGTTTTTAGTCCCAAAAATAAGGGCAAACAAAAAAATGTAAATATAAAATTGTAGAGCTGCTTGTTTCTTAAATGTTTTAGAAAATAAATTCAGAAAAAGTTGATACTTTCGAACAGAACCTTATTTATGATAGGGTTCAGTGGAACACTCAATGATTCTGTCAGATGTACGTGGATATTGAGAAAATGATTTTATATTTTACTTGAAAAAAAAATAAAAGCAGAAAACACAAGAAAAAACATCAGACATTTGGAAAACCTCGAAAAAATATTATCTCAGTACTTTCCTGATAATTATAATAACATTAGTTGGTTACAAAATCTTTTTGTTAATAAATACAAAACCTGCCATATTATCTGTGTTTGAATATGAAAACCTTATTGAAATTAAGAGTATGTTATTCTTAAAACATAAATTTGAATCCGGATTATTAAACGAATATTAGAGTGAACTTGATATCCATCCCTAGTTGAAAAATTTATTCTAGCTCTACTAGGTACCTTTTGTAAGAACTTGCCGTTGTTAGGCTGGCTTTTTCTCCAAGGCCTATACTAAAAATAAGTACAGAAATAGATTCAGACCTACAAATTCAACTTTCATATGTAAGATCTAATTTTTAAACTATTGTAAATCAAACAATTCCACTCATCAGATTAAAAATATTAAAAATAAACTTATATGATTAAATCTAATTAATTATATTTTGTTAAAAATACATTTTTTTGATGGTTTAATAATTAAAATTTTGATTAAAAATTGTTTTTTTTAAAGCTAATTGTAATGAACAATAATCATGAATGATCTCTTTTAATATTTTTTAGTGTATTGATTTTTCAATAGATAATTGAAAAATTAGGGTTTAGTTGGAGTTAGAGACATTGGGGTTCCACGAAACACAAAGTTTTTCCTAAGGGTGTCATGGCCGTAAATGTTTTGGAATCGTTGGTATAGGTTACACAATTATAGTTTGAATAATTTGTTAAATCTTTGATCTTCATCCATAAATTAAATAAATAACTAAATAACAGAGAGAATGCAGGGATAAAATTAATTTATATTATATATTTTAAAAATTAAAATATTATTACATTTAATATGTCTATTTATAATGTTTTATTTCAGGTCAATACTCTAGTTTTTATTATTCATAATAATTTTTTTTAGAGTGTAATGAGACAAATATTATCAGGAGTAGACTTTCTTCACTGTAATCGAGTTGTACATCGTGATCTCAAACCACAAAATGTTTTAGTATCTAGTGACCTTAGAATTAAAATTGCTGATTTTGGTTTAGCAAAGATATATGATTTTGATATGAAGTTGACTTCAGTAGTAAGTAATGATTTAATTAAGATAAGAGGACATCAAACATGCATTTTCCTTCTATTTAGATAAACATAGTAAGTAAGCATTATATCAAACGTGTGTTTTTTTACTTCCAATAGTACTTAGGCCTTGTGGGGTGTATAAACATGATTTTAGTGATAAAGTAAACATAATAAGTTTTACTAAATGTGTATAGTGCAGTGTTTAAAAAATTTTTTCTTTAACAGATTTTATTTATCATTAAACATTTTTTTTAAATCTGCAGATTAAGATTTTTGATAAAAATGGTTTTTTAGACATTATGTAAAACTTCTCATATTTATTTTGACATTACTTTTATATGATCAAGAAAACCTGAGTATTACTGTAAGTATTAAAACCCTATTTTTCTATACAGTTTGTTGAATAGAGACAATAAATGCATGTTTGATGTGTTCCTTAAGAGAAATGTATGACTACTAGAAAATATGTATTATGTATTATTCCGTTTAGGTTGTAACATTATGGTATCGAGCACCTGAAGTTTTATTAGGTTTACCTTATGCTACTCCAGTTGATGTGTGGGCTTGTGGCTGTATTATGGGAGAGATGTATAAATTAACTCCTCTATTTGATGGTGAATCCGAAGCAGAACAGTTAGATAGGATATTTAAGTAATTACTAATTAGTGATTAAGATTAAAATATTAGTACTTTAACTAAGAATTAAAACTATTTTAGGATAATTGGTCTACCATCTGCTATGAATTGGCCAAAGAATGTTTCTCTGTTGAGGAGTTCCTTTGAGTCTTACTCACAAACTTGTTTGAAGACTGTAATTCCTGAAATATGTTCCATGGGAGAAGATTTATTAATGGTAAGATTTAGGGATAATTTAATTTTAAATATTTTTGGATTTTTACTAATTTATTCAAATTTATAATCTCAATTATTTTTAGATGATTAAATATTTGAGATTCACTAAATTCTAATTTCTAAAATTATAAGATATTATATATTATATATTTGAATTATGTTATTTAACTATTATAAATAACATAATTTCAATTTTCATATAGTAAATTAAGTTGTTTAATAATGAAAGAGTTTATTTTAATTTGATGGACATTGGGAATAATTAAGTTAACTTATATTTTAAAGCAATGTGAGAAGTTTAACAGTATCAAAAATGTGATTTATCTGACTATTTGAGATTAGTTATATCCAAGTTGGGATTTTGATGCATTTAAATTTTTGTGTGTATAAATACTATTTTATAAGTAGATAATGTGTTTTAGAATATAATGATTATTTCTAAATGTTATTTTTGAGATTTTTAAATACAATGAGTTTTGTATAGATGATTAGAAATATATATTTTTAATTAATATTTTAACAGTGTATTTTTTTAGGTAAATTTTTTTTTTGTTTTTAGAAAATGTTAAAGTTTGATAGTACCCAACGAGTGACAGCTCGTGAGGCTTTGAAACATCCATACTTTAATGAATAAAATTGATTGTGTCTACCTTGGATACTATTGATGTAAGTATTTATCTAAAGAAAAATTTAGTTATTATAATTCATGTTGTGTTCTTAATTATTTTAAACACTTACTGTAAGTGTATATTGTAATGAACAGTTTTCGTGCATAATAAGTACAACTAAAGTTTTATTATTAAACATGTAATTATAAATAATAAAATTATTAATGTTTCAAAGTTTGATAAAATGTTAAACAACATTTAAAAATATTTGTAGATAATAGATATGTTTTATTTAAAATAAATACACACTAGTATTTTTAAAAATAATTATGTATTTATTTATATTGAGTGTAGTCTATATTAGACAAGGCTGGGCAAGTTAAGACCAATTTTTAACTAGTTTAGGTTAAGTTGTCTTAAAAAATTAAATAGGTATGTTAAATTAAAAATGTTCAGGAAAATAATAACTTGTTTAGTTAATATTAGTAGTTACTTCTTAAATTTACCCTTTACTATACACTCATAAACATATTTTTTACACTAATATTTAGAATTATACAAGACTTGTGAGGTTATATAGGTACATAGTCTCTTGTCACTTTAAAGATACCATACCCATCTTATTATGTTAAAATGATATTCACGTAAAAATATATACTTTTCATCAGAAAATAAATACAAAAGAAATACACGTACACATTTTTTTTTTAAACTAATTCGAAATTAGCTTTGGAAATATTTTATATTGTAGCAAAATATCTGAGTTCAAATTATTTACTCAAAGAAATAAATAAGTTATTTTCTACCATTCTAATTTTGTTTAACTAATTAAGTTAAAAATTATTAAATATAGTAACTTATTAGGTACTTACCTTCAAATTTTTAAAATAGTTATTGCTCAGTTTTCGAACTAGGGCTGCCATTTGACCTGTTTTTGATGGAACACTGCGGGTTTTAAGTATGCTATCTCGATATTCATTAAGTGCTGGCTGGGATTAAATAATATCAGTTTTCTAAAATAAGTCCTAAATCTTCAAATATTTTCAATTTTACATTAAATAATTAATATAATTAATATACAATTTAGGTTGTTAAAAAATAATACATTTTGTATAAAAAAAATTATTAAAAATGTAAAATCTCTAATGAGTAATTAAGAATTGAAATCAAAATAGGTATATACCTATTGTTTTACTTTTTTACTTATTTTACTTTCTAGTTTACTTTCTTGTATAATTTTTAACACTGATTTTAGATTTTAAACTGAGTGGGGAATGTATTGAGATATAATGAATGGACAATTTTAAACAAATTTTTGTTTAACCCTTTTCATTTAATTATATATAAAATATTTTTTATATTTTTTTATATATAAAAAATAGTTATTGGGAACTAACATGGTATGTATGATGTATCAACACAAACATTCATTAGGTTGTATACTATCTGCTTCTTGGATGGTATTTGTGTAGTCAGATATACCTACCCGTATAGTTATATATATAAACAATATTTTAGGCCACATTAAAGTTTACAAGAGTATGGGTGTGAATGCCACTTAATATGACTGCTCTCTCTCTGTTCAGTAGCTAGAGTAGAGCTGTGTGCTACGCTTTGCAATGTGTAATGTGTGACATATGACCTGCGGGTAAAAATTAATTTTTTTTTTCAATTATTTAAATATTACATTTATTTTATTTTTTTTCATTATCATTTTAAATTTTTAATATTTAATAATGTTTTATTCGGGCAATATAATGTTTGTCTGTTAACACAATTTTCGATCAGAGGATTTGTTTGATGTATTATGAATATCAGGAGGGAGAAGTTATGTTAGAATTGTTTATCTAATTTTATTTGGGAGGTTTATTGAAATTCCTCGTAGGTACTTTTTTTTTTAAATAGAGTGGAGACTGACAAAAAAATTGCGGGAATATTGTGTGATTTTGGACAAACTTGTATGCAGAGATATAAAATGTTGAACAATGAGATGGGGGTTATTATTTTGAAAATTAATTTTTACAATATTTATACTTGAGAATCACACTTGGTTTTTCATACAAACTTTATTTTTTGATTTCTGGATTATCTTGGTTACTAAAAAAAAAAACTTATGGTCTTCACAATAAGTCGTCAAATCATACAATAATTTATAAATTATGATTAGTAATGTAATTGGGCTCTTTTTTATTTTAATCAAATGAGAATTAACTATTAATTTTCAAATTTTATTTTTATTTAATTTTATCAAACTTTGTTGTGTTGTTTTTTTAATCTTTTCTAATTATTTATGTACCTTGTTAGAAATTTATATTATGTTTGTATATATTAAACAATTTCTTATTTTTATTTAAAATTGTAAAACTAAACTTACAATAGTATAAAAATGTATTATTTTAATGATGATTTAGAGTTTAATTATTATTATTTGAGTGGTACTTGTTTATTATTATATTCATGCTAGTGAGTTAGTGTATAGTTGAGTTCATTTTTGTAAAAAGTTTTAAAGTGGTTTTAGACATTAGATTATTTCTTCATATACACTACTGTTATTTTGACAATGTTATGACATTATGTCATATGATGTAGTTGAAATCGTCGATCAATACAAATTACTTATAATATTTATCATTTTTTTGGATATTCAGAATAGGGTTCTATATTTAATTGTTTAAATGATAATAAGTTATTTTATTATAATGTATAAGTATTATTTATGAATGTATATTGTATATCAATATATTATTTGTAATTTAACTTGTACATTTTTTACAATATACCTAATGGTTAATTTTCAAAAATTTTAATAATATCTAAGAAATATGATTTCACCATCAAACTGTATAACAGAAGTGTATTTTTTGATTTACACATGTGTTTCATACCAATACATTTTTAAGAAAATTATATAGAGAAATACATAAAACTATGAAAGTTGTGTAGTAAGATTTAAAGATTTCTTAATACCAATAATTATTTTAGTTCATATTTAATTAATCATTTTAAGATAATACATTACAATAAAATTTTAGATTTTAAGTGGACTGAATAATCCATTTGTTTTACACTGATGTATTTTTTATTTGAACAAATTTTCTTAGATACGTAAGTGTAGCACGTTTTCTGAAAGAAAATCGAACTGGTGTATTTTAAGACAGTTATTATTTGATTTTCTCAGGGGTTTTAATAATAAATTGGAAAAAACTGCCAAATTTACAAAATGTATTATTTTCAAATCTTAAATAAAACTGCCTTTCAAAACATGTATAACCGAACTTTGCTTAGAGTTGTTTTTTTGTTAGTAATGATTAATCTTTGCGTTTAAATATACATTAAATTTTTCCTCTATCTTTCTAATTGCTTCTCTACACCAGTGGCTCACCCATTATGCAAACTATGTCCGTTTGTTTTTATATTTAAAATTTATGTTATAGACAAGTACCATGTAAATTGAACTTTACATCTCATTGTGTTTATGGAATTTATATTACTTGTAACTTAATCTGAGTTTCATTATCTTGCAGACATTTTTTTAACGCCACATACAAATACTTAGTTTGTATGAATCAGTCCAAGGCAATGTTTAAGTTATACTCAACAGTATTGCAGGTCTTGAAGAAAAATAGCATTCCTAATTAGAAGTTACAATTTGAGTTCCAGTACGGCTAACTTTTTGTGTAGATGTTAGAACAGTTACCAAAATATTATATCTGGTACATATTTGTTTACCACATAATTAATTTTTAAGATCTCTCACTGTATTTATATCCAACTGTGGATCTCGGAGCTTAGTAACCGACCAACGAATTTAAAAAATATTTTTAATTTTGCTCAATGACTACATATTTTCTAATCAGTAAATCAAAAGACTTGCCATGTTTTTGTCTTTACTGACAAATCTTTTCCGTGTTTACTTCCTTTTGTCTGTACTTGTATAATTTAAGTTTTTTCTAGTATTTTTCTTTTTGTGCACTGATTGGATAAAGTAAAAAAAAAAAAAAAAAAAAAAAAAAAAAAAAAAAAAAAAAAAAATGCATTATTTATAATTTTTTTTTTGTATATATTTTGTCTTATGTATGTTTAGTACCTTGGGTTTTGATTTTTAAAATTGGGTCGTACCTCGTTTTTTAATTATAAAATATTTTTTTATCTTCCTCTATTTTTTTTTTTTTTTTTAGTGATTTAAGTCTTAAAAATACTTTTTATCTTTAGATATAAAATAAATGGACTGTTTATTTTTTAAAAATGTGTGTGTTGTTAACTTTGTATTTAATTTTTTTTAGTTTGTAATAAGTACTTAATTTGAGAGATTATTCATGTATTCTTATACAAATAATAAAACTAAATATAAGTAATATGACTGAAACACCCGTGAGCAGCAAAGCTCCGTCATTAGAGTTTAATTTTCTAAAGCTGATTTGTTACCTTACAATGTTCAATTTTTTTTTTTTTATATAATTGATCTTAAATAGCTATGGTTGCCAGACTTTTACATTTTAGTCTGTGGGAGTTTTTTAAACTCAATGTTTCTTGTGAAAGCATATGGAATTTGTGCATACAAATAGTTTAGAAGTTTAGGAAACACTTAAAAGGCTCTTTATTGATACTTATACAATGTATGTACAAAATTTCATTCCCTGACTTAATTTAAGAATGTGTAGGGGTATATAAAGCTAAAAAAATACTCCTCAAACAATGGTGAAATTCAACTAAAATTTTAACACTTCAACCTGTCCGCGCAACTATTCCTATGTATAAACTCATTTGGTTCATAGGCGCCACTAAAATTGCCCACAAATAGCGGGAAATATATATATTTATAAAGGAGACTATACAGGTGCATTGCAATAGTCTATTTTCGAGTAAAATTCAACTAAAAAAAAAAATAACAACAAATCGTGCAAGTGGTTAATACTCATTCAATTACTCATAAAATAAATGCGTACAGAAGTTTTATTTATTATTGGTTTCAATTTTCAAATTCATCAAAAATAACCATAATAGATATTTGTAGGAATTATATTATATTATAACGTGAACAGGTACCCTTATTGGGCCTGTTTATTTTTGTTCTGTGAGTATTGATAAATTTGTTTGCCTATTATTATTTTAATTTTTAGTTGAGTGCTCATCATACATAATCATTGAAATCTTTAAAATTACTAGTGCTAAATCACAATGCTGCAAATCTTTATTGTGAAAAATTTTATTCATAAATTTGATTGAAACAATTACGTATTAACACTGTACAATGACATATATATATATACATGAAATATAAATGATATTAAATGAATAACAATTAATTCGCACTCATCCGATAAAAATTGACTGTAATGACCAATCAATATATAGTAAATAAATATACAAATAAAAAATGTATATATAATAATAAAATAAACAAACGAATGAATGAATGTAAAACTCGACTTTTAGACTTTTAGTCTTGAGGCTATTTACATTTTAACTGTGGTATAACCGATGATGAATTTTTAATTTGAAACCCGTCGCATAATGTACTTGTTGTAATACTCCAGGCGACGTATTCATTCATTTATTTATTTACCGGTACTAATCCATTTTAATGATTTTGTTTTGCTTTATTATTTTTATTACCAACATACAGTCTTGAAATACATTTACAACAGGGGCGACCCAAACGTAATTATAAACGTACACAATTAGTACACGCACACGCGCGTACAAAATAATACAACTCTATCGATTGTGCCTATTGCTTGATAAACGGACATTTAAATCATCTGCGGTACGTCGGTCGATTCGGCCACCGTTGGTCTGCATTAACGCGCGCGCTGGAATATCGTCTTTTGACAAAAAGCACGGACGGACACACACATTTGTTATTCGTATTTATCGGAAATTTATTCAAACGCAATACAACACAATTACAATAATATTATTCTTGAGAGTGCATCGCGTACGACATATTGTATTTAAATGCGTCGATCGCGTAAACACACGTGACACACGCAGTATGTTACGTGTTGTCGGGGGACGGGCATCTGGATCAAACGGTCTGTGCAGCGCCTGGGTGTACCAATGTACACGGTAATACCGGCAGCGGGCCGCGGTCAGTCGTTCGCGTAAGCGTTCGTCATCGGCGGTTTCTTGTTCGACGACGGCTTGTCCTGCGGCTGCGCCGATTTCGTCGGTTTTTCGGCGACTGGCGGTTTTTTCGCCGACGGCGTGTAGTTGTGATTGGCGGCCGCGGTCGGCCTCGGCGACGAACCGTTGGCGTCCTGAAAACAGTCGCCGGGACAACGTGTTAACATACGGTCGTTATTATAACAGCGTGCGCGCGCCTACCCAGGTGTAACAGTACTAATCGTAAGCGAAGGGGAAGGTCCCGGCGATCTCTTTTTGATAAACCGATAAACCTCGCACGGAATCACAATACCGTTGGGCACAAAAAGCTCGAATATCCCGGGGACAGCGTAAACCACCATAATATCGATTTTGTGTAATCATTGTTTACACGACGACGACGACGACGGCTTGGGGACAAACCCCCTAAAATATTCGAATATTGTATTGCACACATGATACGCGAAAGTTTGTTCGGACTAATGGACGGATTGTGTTTGTTACTCCATCGCGCCAAAACTGTTGAACGGATCGAGCCGAAACTATCCGCAGATGTGCGCATGTAGTTCTAGACCTGCAGGACTAACGCACAGGCTACTTTTTTCTCCTCGTATTCAACCCCTACAATGAGAGGGGGGGAGCTGATAAACGGTTATCGGTATATTTGTGGTACGAAAATCTAATTTTGTTGTTGTTTATTAGGTCATTTTGGTGACGCGGATGAAAAAACCAGTAAATGTTTGTTGATATTGTTGTCACGGGCAAAGAAGTATCATACATAAAAAAAAAATAAAATAAAAAAATCATCGGAAAACGTGGAGACGGTTTTTTATATTTTTTTACTCCCGTTACAGTGCAAAGTCGTACGGGACGTAGTTTTCGCCTTTACGGGTATTTTTATTTTGACGTCAACAGAAATAATTAATTTTCATTCGAATAATAATAATACTGTAAAAAACCCGTTGGAATACAATATTTTCATGAAAATTACATAACCAGTTCAGCCTTTTTCTATATCTGATCGTAATAAGTATAGCTCGGTTGGCCGAGAGAAGTGGCGTCAGGGGGTTCCTTGTGGGGTGAAACCTTCGCCCCGAGGACGTCATGGGCCTTCTTTGCGGGCCTATCCGTGCAATGACGCAATTGCGTAGTGTTTTTTACAGCCAAACTTGTTTACATTACCGTTACGGTCGCCCTTTTTTTAAATTTTTGTATTCCGCTCGTCTCAAACACGTATAATAAAGCAGAGCCGTTATTATAATATTTTCTTTCGACAACTGTGCTGCCGCCTGCCCCGACCCCCTTAGAATTCGTTTCCTCGGACAATACCGAACAATAGCCTCCCTAAAAATAACGGCCCCGGTTAAATGGATTGCGAAGGCTGCAGGCTGGGTTTTTTTCCCCCGCGTTCGACTAATAGACTCGTTTTTGTTTTTACGCGCGCCGATTAAATTTAACCGCGAGACAGCGGTTCTCGAAATAACGTCCATTTAAATCCCTTCGAAGTTATGACTCCCCTTTTTCTTACCACTTTTTATTTTTACGCATTGAGTCATTTACTATTTATGTACACATGTGTATTATTTTAATGTTTATCCAAACGCATTTAAATGAACTGTACCTACTTATATATAAATTATTTCAAGAAAAAAATACGTAACGCAATATAATCGATACGAAATAAGCGAGAATAGTGTTCACAAAACTATATAATGCGTGTGACGTCTTGGTAACGTTGACATTGACCAAGGTTGGATCCGGGTAATTACCGGTTTAAATTATTGATACCGGATAAATAAGGTTTTAGTAAAAATGTAGAGATCGTTTTATTCTTGCGTTAAAATAAAAACAAGTCAATTTAAAATATTTAGGTTAGTTACTTATACCTAAATATGTATGGTTAAAAACTAATATTATAGTTTTCCAATATATTTTATTAGTTACAGACAAGGCCATAGATAATATGCATACATATCGTACTTATATTACTGAAGATTAAGTATTTGATTTGCTCGGAAATATATTATATTATCGTACCTAATATCACAACATTTAAATCGTATGAAAAAAAAAAAATAATAAAATTGTGTTATTATATTGTGTCGAGATTTAAGTAAGCGTATACGTCGCAGAATTAATTAATTTAAAAACCACCCGGCTTTTTCGAACACAATATTATATTAAATTTAAAATTAAATAAAAAACTCGTTATTTAATGCTACTTAATTCAAACTATACTTACTACAGATATATTTTTTTTTAAACACTAACGGCTCAGATTTGTTTACACCATACTCGTATCTGACACCTCACGCACGTACACGCGTCGGTATTTTACTATGACTGTATTGCAATTTCAAACCAATCATGCCGATAGGCCCGTTTCCAGTCATCGCATACATTGGATCGAGTAGATCAAAATTCATTATTTGTCGGTGTTTTACCGTAAGGCAGTAACACAAAGGCGAATCGTTTTATTGTAGATAATCAATACTCGAATGTTAAGTCATATTCTTAAGAGGACGTGATACGCGCGAGAAATAAGCATTTGAACAATTACAATATTTAAAATACGTACATATTTATCTTAAAAAAATACAATATTTTAAAACTAGCACCGACGTTGCACGGATAATGTTCTTATCTTTAAGCTTGATGATGGGTCAATTCACTCTAATATATTAAAACTAGCAGCGCAATGTTATCCCTGCTGTACCAAAATTTCTCGTGTCGTACGTTCGTAAGACGAAGACGACTCATGCGGGTATCATGGCTCTTCAATTATACATATACGTCGTATACGTCACATGTGTCGTAACGATATCGAATTATCGACTCCCCGGTCTATTTACGCGCTTTTTAATAATAATTCATTGGATGCACCCGACCCATGCTCCCGTGTTTTATTTAAAGTTTCTACACACGCCATTAGCAATCAAACTCCATTCTGTTTTTTGGACAATTACAATCGCCCCTTACAAATGTTACTTATAGATCGGTGGATCTAATGTGATTTTTGTTATTTTCGTGTCTTGTACTGTGTACTATTATTGGGCGGTTTACGGCATTATTTATTGCGATTGTTTCAAAACTGAGTGTACTGAAAGCTACGTTCACTGTCTCCGATCGCCGGTCGTGCATTGGTGAACTATTGTACAGTAAACATAACGTTTTGTCGTTATTGCAATCAAGTACAGCGAACAATGTGAGCAGCAAACTGTTCACGGAAAATTAACACGCCTATTGTTTACCACCTTATTCAGAATCTGTTATGTTATCAACTGTCATGCTTAATCGATTCGTTTACTCGTAACTTACTGATGGTTGGCGTATAATATTCTATAATAAATAAATAAAGACGTACAGTTTTGTAATTCTATCGAACCGACGTATGTGTTATACGCAACGGAAAGCGGCTAACTTTATTTTATGGCAACTTTCGTTCGCTTATAGGTAACTATTTTGTATAATATACAAGTCACATTGTATCACAATACTGTGCGTAATATATAGTTCCCGATTATTTTATTATTATTATTATTATTAATGTTGTTATCAACGGTATTACGAACCATTATGTTTTTAACGTTAAAATTATGAAAATATCGGACGCAGGCCGTTGTTGTTGCCGAGGGAAAATCGTTCGTTAGTTTATTATCCATCTAAAAATTATAAAATTCGGCTTTACGGTATAATATTATATAAGTAGTTGGATAATAGGTATTTCGTTTTGCACGAATACTCGAATTTATTTTCCGAACAACTCGTTTTTTACGTACGGTCATACGCGCGATAAATATTATAATCAATGATAAATATTTAATTTCTAAAGCGACGTTTTAACCTCTGTTACCGCACATTTTTTCCCCCGGAAAGCCCGCATATTTGAACCAGCTATCTTACCGGTGATTTTTTATGTGGAGTCTAATACGTGCGTATCTTTGGGGCCTATGGGGCCGTACACGACGATTGTACGACCATATAATAATATAAATTATAGGTGCATTGTAATAATACTATACTGACTGCTGTAATCGTCGCCGTGTTGCACGGACCACCTCCGCCGACCATTAGTGCGTTGGAAATGTTCATTAGATCCTGATGTAACTTCAAAACTTGATTGGTGGAGTATGCCACAGTCCTGGCCACCTGGTCGGACTGCGTCTTGCCGAGTTCCGAGAGCTCCGTGAACATTTTCTCCTCTCGGCTACTCTGAGTCTTCAACGTTTTCGATATTTGTTCCAAAGTCGTGCTATCGGACGTGCTCCTAAAACACGCGGTCACGATTAGGTACCGCACCGTATAGGGTAATGGCGAGTGAAATCATTTATTTTTTACCAACGTATAATCAACTCTCCGTTCAAATATCGCATGGAGAACAGCGAGCATATAGTTGTCTATATAATGTCTTGTATAACGACAACTATAATGAATACAATTTTTGGTAGAGACGAGATTATACGCCCATACATGGTAATTATACACAGGATGGACGGCTGCAGGGCAGGCAATATTAGTGAATCGTAAACGTGCGTTTTAATTGTATTTTCTAAAGGCGTGGTAGTAAACACCTCGGAAAAGTTAATATAATCGAGAATAACAGGAAACGACCGGGGTTTATAGAAGCTTATAGAATGTTACCTATTGAAGAATAGCTATTGTTTCTGTGCATAGCGCCATTTTTATTATTTTTATAAGCAATAATGTTTAAAGACCGTGAAACGGATATGTTTGAAACATTTTGATTGCTTGTGTATTATTATCTATCTGCATGCAGTATCGCGGTTATGTTTTAAAATAACAGGCAAAGAAAAACTATTGACATTTCATCAATTCAACTTTTTTATAATAACATTTTTTTATTCGGCTTGGGAGTTAAAATTTTAGTCTTAAGAGTTAAAAGCTAAAAATCATAAAGTTTGATAAATCGAACGATTGCCTATACTATTTTCAGTGTACAGTACAGAACTTTAAATATTTAAGAAAAATGTAGACTGTAAAAAATAGACCGTAAGAAAAATATTACCGTCTATTTGCATGATTGTTTATATCTTAATTGTTTTGCCAATCAAATTTGATCAAATTCTTCATTCATACTCGTAATAGGTGAAACTCTTATAATTTGGTTTTAATAAGCCTTTATTATATATATAGGATGTAACGTTGTTCTATAGGTATTTGCGCCCAACTCCGTATAAGATCGGTAGGATTAGGTCATTCTTACTTGTTATCGATGTGGTCCAATATCCGTTCCAGTATGAGTATCATGTCATTCTCGATTTGCCGTTCGTTCGATTGCAATCGGTGACAGTTGTCCATGAACAAGTTTTGCCCGTCGATGAGCAATTGCAAGTGCTCTCTAAACTTAGCTTCGAGTTCGTTTTCGGATTTTTTCTGAATCATCGTTATCTCTCCGACAACCGGTTCTATGAAACCTGCGATTAGAATAGTTTGTATTTTAGATTTGTATATAATTTGTATTCGACATGTTTATAACACGTGATGGTCAAACGAAACCCTGACTTTCACCACGTTAAGTCAAATACTCCGTTGACTAACGTAACTCTCGCATCAATTTTTGTTTTTATAATTATAGTAATATTTCGTTAAATGGGACCTCGTAAAATACTTTTTTTTTTGGAAAAGTATTGTGAAAAAAGATCCCTTACTACTGTTGGTAGTAATTTGGAAAAAAAATACTATTTTTTTTTTTTTATAAAACTCATTTTTTTTTATTATAAAATTGTTGTTATTTGTTGAAAGTCTGGCGAGGTTGTAAGATTAATTCTGAAATGTCCTAAAGCTCTTCTCATTTTTTCTTAACGCGTCTTCTTAAGGTTCAGCAAAATTAATATTAATTGAACATATTAAGACATTTTGCCCTCAGTAACTCTGTTCTCGTTAGCTAATAACGGCATAAACACAATGATAAAATATCGAGTAACGGTAAATCTTTTTGTCGGGCAATTTTGATTTTTCCCCCACAAAATTCAAACATAGTGCAACGCATTGTTAACATATTTTATAATACTCCACACAGAAACTAGGAACAATATAATCAGTAACAATAATCTCCAGTAAAGTCATAAAGCGTTATTTTAAAAAATAAAAACTCAAAACAATGTAAAATATAGATAAATAAAAATAAACAACACTATTATTCAATATTTAAGAGCAAAGCTAGGATCACAATCATGTTCGATAAAGTATACCGAAAAATATGAATGTAGGGAAATTATCAGACATCTAAATTACACGGCAAATTACCGATAGAAATGTTAACTAAAAAATCTAAACAATGGAATTAAACATAATTCATTTGTGTACATACACCTAATAATGACCGCAATATTAAAAATAAAAAGGATACAAAACTAAAAAGGTAATGCAGTAGACAGTAAAACGGTAGTATAAATCATAGATTTACAACGATACATTAAAAACTGAGTAAACAACAAAATTAATTGCAAAAGGAAAACAATGTATAGTTTATGATTATTAAATCATAATCATAATCATTTCTTTTTCGTCATCTCTCCGATAAACTCAAATATTTCTATTTATTTCTATGTATTCTTACTGTTCAAAAACTCGGTGATCACGTCATGTCTATCCGAATCCAATCTCCGGCGATACTTATCTGTAATTTCAACTAATTCTTTGAGTAAGATGTGCATGTCGTCCGATCTGTCTTTGAGTCCGTTATACATACTGTTAACCTATACATGATGATACACAATATAAATTAACTATAACGGTTAATATCAATGGCTAAAGGGGAAATAATTTTGAAGGAGTACTGTATTTACCATAAAAAAAAAAAAAAAAATGATAGGCATTCCCAATAACTAACTCAACCCAACTAAACTTTCAGGAAACCAAAAGTGAAGACAAGACTTCTGAAATGTTTTTCTTTACAAATTATACAAATTGTATGATGTATGATATGATTTAAAAACACTCCTCTCCACCAAAATATTATCCTTTACATATGGTTATGTAAAAATAAGTAAAATATAGTCTGATTATGCATAATCCAATAGGTGTTAAAGAATTAATTCGTAATAAAACTAATTCGGTTTTAAAATTTCATTAAACATACTCCAGTAATAATAACTTAAGCATTTCTACCTCCCTCCCGACTTTGAAGATTTAAATTAAATGTGACGTATAATTTTATCTTATATAAGAAAGAGATTTTATCCCCCTCCACTCCCTTCCCACCCTTATAATTTAACTACTGTTTAATATTGTATAATATTTGCTATTAATTTGTTAGTGTTTGTAATTTTGAAAAATCCATTCGTATTCTAATAACCATCGGGGAATGTATGCAAAAGAATGACATGTCAAAATGCAGACGCCATTTAAATACCCATTGATGTATATTTTATTATAATAAATAATATGATAATATTAATGAGACGGGGTACCGTTGTTGCCAGTTTATTAATAGTCATCGTATCCGGAAATTGAAGGGGATCGTCATTTTGATTGCACGAACAGGTACTCAACGATTTTTCCGCGGTTTTCGTATGCTGAGAAAGATTTGTAACCGTTTCCTATAAAAAAAAATAACTGAATCAGAGACACATGAGTAAAAATTAAAAAAAAAATTATATTTTATAGTACACAAAATATTCTATTTATCGCGCTTTTGCATGTCAAGGTGTGCGGTTTTAAATCTTGTATATTATGTATAATTTTCCGTAAATATTACTTTAATTTAACATTTTTATAGACAACATAATATTTAACTTGCTAATTTTATAATTTTATTTCGGAACGTAACGAGGGATCTATTGGCTTTAGTAATATGATGTGTATTTTTTTTTTTTTTGTTTCTGAACAACTTTTCAAACAGAAAACTTACTCTGATGCGCGATGTATCAAGTGTAGTATCTTGTCTGAAAGGAAATTTTATTTAGTAAGAGGATTGAGAGGTTATTATAATTTTTTTGTAATAAAGTTAAAAATACCCGTAGTCGTGAAATTTTGACAGAAAGGTTATATTTGCTTTTTTCAGGTGTGGTCAAATTTTTAAAACATTTGATCTTTTCTGAACTATTTATAGATATTTTAATTTTTCGAATTTTTTACGTAATTTTTATTCGATAGGTACTCTGTGGATACGATTGTTAGGTTAAACTGAAATGCTTGAAAATTTAATAAGAGGTTCCATAAATGTTGTACTTTGTGGGCAATGAAGTAGTGTAATGTGGACATTTTTTTTTTTTAGAATGGTTTTAAGAAATCTTGAAGAAAATTGTAAATATTATTGCCTTACTAATCAAACGAACTTTGTTCGAAATCGTCTTTTAATAGAAATAGTTTATCGTTGCTTACAGGTATACATTAAATTACCTTCTCAACTATTCAGTTTTTAGTTTTCAGGTGATTTGTCTTCGGGGACATCGATTGGAGCAAAATTCAATTTTTATTTTCATCCCCAAAACAAAAAACTAAAAAAAAAATTATAACTTTAATTATTTACTTTGGAAAATTTTCAAAATAACCATTTTGTAAAAAAATAGTATACAAAAAATTTCAAATTAGCACGGTAATTCTTTATGTTCTATTGAATATTTATTGTTTCACGCTTATTTTCTAGACATTAAAACGGCTATATTTATATCAATCGGATATGAATGTATGATACATTAACATTTTAAGAATAATGTTTTTTTTAAAATGGTTATTTTGAAAATTTTCTAAAGTGAATAAATAAAGTTTTTTTTTGTGTTTAGGGGATGAAAATAAAAATTTAATTTTTCTTCAAATCGTTGCTTCCTCGAAGAAGAACCGATAGTAAAAAATAAATAATAGTGTAGTGCTGGTGTTGTTGATGTGCTAGTGTAATGTTGATTATTATTATTAAAATATCTTAGAAGTAAGCAGGTACTCGTAAGAATATTAATTTTAAAAACGAGCTATTACATCTTTAAATATACGTTTTAATTTGAATTCTACACTAGTATAGCATAGGTACTTAACATATTATTATTTTACATACATTAAACAAATATTTATTATTAGACGGTTTGATTTAAAAAAATAAAAAAATATTGAGGTGTAGGTTCATACCAAGGGGAGCGGTATAGTTTCTTAGAAATGATAATTATTTGAAAATGTCTATCTGGTTCTATATAAAGGGTTTTTGGTTTTGTTTTTTTTTTTTTTTTTACTTGTAACTGTTTCCTGAAGATGTTCTGACTTGAATTGTGTTTGTCAAACTCGGAACCCATGTCTTTTCTCATGGTCTGAATCTCCGCGGACAATTCCGTCTGTCTGTCAGCCACTTTTCTAATTTCTTTCTCCAGTTCTTTCTGTAACATATATATATATATATATATATATATTCCAAAACGGACGAGATGGTTCGTTAAAAAATCGTTTTCGTTTCATCTTTGGCCGATTGCCAGCCGTCTGCAAGAGACCGACTGCAGCAGATTATAATATACAAACGTCAATGTTTCCAGCTAGTTATATTTCTTCTCTCGCCCGCCCGGCCACCCACACGATTGCAATGCCAAAGGTTGCCGCTCTATAAATGCATTTGTAATGGCTAAAAGGAATTTCGATAGTTGCGTTCACGTTTTGTTGTCGCGATCATACATTGATATTATTATTATAATTTTACCTTTTTATTTATAGTTTTCGATTTTATATTTTCTTACCCACGTATGTGAATTATGATGTAGGTATTGTACTTTAGAGAGAGAGAGGACGTGGGCGAAGGAGAAAAAAACTCTCCAACGATTTTATATTTTATTAATATGCGTACCTGATGATTTTGCACAGTCTGGAGAGTGGTTTCTATGTGCTCTAATGTGATTTCCAGATGCTGCTGTGCCTTATCCAGACGTCTGGTCAAGTGGTTTGGGCCGCATTCCTCCATCACCGACTGAAATTTCACCCACGCTGTTGTTAATAATAATATATTCGATTCGTGCGGTATATAGTATAGCTAGGGTAATTCTTTTTTTATCTGATCCAATAAATTTCTTGGAGTATATTCGGTAAATTCGTACATTTCTATTTCCCCCTCCTCTCCCTCCGATAATTATTGAATTGCTTAAGCTTTATTTCCAAACTTTTTTCAACTTTTTGCCATCACTCTTTATACTTTAAAATGATTATTGCCTATCGATTTATCAAATATTTATAACAAATCGGAATATTTTCCTGTTATGTACGTCCAAATATGTTGATACATATTCTATTATCAAATCTGTTGTTGCAATTTTAAAAAAAAAAAAACACATATACGAAACGAGTTTGAAAACTATATGTAAATAAGTAAAACTATTATTCCATAATATAATGATTGCAGATATAAACCAATATCGCTTGTATTTGAAAATTTTGAAATAATAGTCGGATCGCGAAAAAATAAAATTATCCTGTATTATCCTGCATCTATTAAATAATATTTTCCGTGAACACGATTATAACAGTATTAATAATATTGGCGCTTAATTTCCCCTGAAAAATAGATTTTTTTTTATAATCAACAAATAATTCAATAATTACTGTTATTCTTTGAATTCATTATAATCGAGCTGACGCATAAATATGTTTTGTGATATGCGATACACGCCACTATGCCCCCGATTAGAAATTATACGTTCGAAAACATTTTCGTCAGCTTTATATTATTTTTTTTCTGTAATTACGTAGGCGTTTCAATAATTATGAACATTGAACCGCGTTGCGAATATTTATGTACGAATCGAATTTATGCACTGGATATCGCCCATCCAAAAGTATTGTTTCTAGATACATTGACGATAATATACTTAAATGATGATTTCGTAAATTAATTAAGTTTTTTCAATAAACTCGTAAAAAAAAATAATCTTACTTTGTGTAAAGTTTTATCGTTTGCACATTTTCGAGTGAAATAAATTAATATAGTAAACACTGTTTTATTATCTTAGTTTTTTTTTGCTTAGGCGTTGAGCGTTTAAGTCGGTAAAAGTACTTATGTATAGGTTTATGAACAGCATTCGATAATAATATTTTTTCGTCGAGAATATCGAACAGTACCACATCTATCATATTACTATGATCATTATTTCTATATTTAATTACCCATCAGACGCATAAAAAACTACCATTGACGTTACCTTGATGATAAAATACACGAGACAAATACCTGTTGAAACTTATCGAACCATATGCCGTTGGACACTTCTAAATTACTGAGCTTGTTGAACATCATGTCTATTCTGTTGTTAATCCTTTCCACTTGTTGATCCCGCCTGAATGTATTCGACAAATCCCTGAGCCTGAACTCGATACTGGATATAAGGGTATGGACCTGCAACGAAACGATGCGATTGCGTTAATATATTATAGTATCAGGTCGAGTGTTTACATTTTTCAAGAGAAACATACGTGCCTGAAGTCATTTTTTCCCCGTGGTCATTTATATGCCAAAAAAAAAATCATAAAAAACCGTAAAATAAATAAACGAATTAACTAATATGTGTTAACGCCGATTAATTTTAGTATTTTATTTGTTCACACAACAAAGTTCAAACATCATTATTATTATGTTTGTATGTCAACTTTCTAAATACACATGAAGTGTAATATGTTATAAGAGTTATTATCGTGTAATGTTATGTTTCTGGTCGTATTGGCTAAATTTATTTGGCGATGATACTGTGTTTCCTATTCCATATAATGTTTTCGCATGTTATACACAATATAATTTTCATTAAAATTGTTACCAACGCGTATATTTTAAACGATTAATTATTATAATATTTTCCTTCATAGTTACGAATATTTTCTAGATTGAGACAAAAATTACAGACTGTATTTTTTTTGTTTTCGACAACGTTGTTGGCAATATTATTTGTTCAGGTTTAATGGCTGAAAAGCCTGAAATATACATTTTCGTATGCTTTTATAATTTGTCTTAAATTATTTATAATATCTTATTATGGATCGGTAAATGTGTACCACAAATTCTCTTTGCCTTTAAAGATATGTACGAAACGCGTATACTAATCAATTATTATTAGGCTCCTATACATATTTTTTACGAGGAATTTATTAATTTACTAGAGTATATTACCTCTATTGTAACATAGATTTTTGGTTATAGGAGAATGAGGTCAAAACGATAATGTATTATCGTTTAAAAAGTTTTGGAAGGATGATAAATCAATTAGAGTATATTACCTCTATTGTAACATAGATTTTTGATTATTGGAGAAAAGGTCAAAACGATAATGTATTATCGTTTAAAAAGTTTTGCATAAAGACAAAAAAGTTTTGGAAAGACGATAAATCAATTACAATTAAGCTTATTGAAATAACTTTAAGTTTTTTTAAGTAATATTTACGAGAAGTTTTTTAACGGTAGTTTTGAAGATATTTGATAGTATTTAACAAAATAACCGTGTATTATTGATCTTATTTCTAGATAATTATAACATACGTCTTCTTATATCCGTGTACCTGAACGTAACGCGTATGTATATAAACCAATTCGAATATTTTTCATACTTTATATGTTTTCTTTAATAATATTTGTTTAATATTGTATTGATTTTGCTGTTTTTCCTGCGTTTTCCCCGGTTCTCCCATGTTTCCCCCCGATTTTTCACATTAAATGGAAAAACTCTTGGGAAAATCGAAAAATGATGTTTTTAAAGAACCTCTCCAGTCAGATTTCCTTTAAGAAAAAGTGCTATCATTGTAAATCGGAGTAAAATTGCTGGTTGAAATGTTGTACATAGAAAAAAAAAAAACATCATAACATGTTTTTATTTATACCTATTTATATTTCGTACATTTTCCATTTTTTCTGACATTTTATCTTGATTTTACCCAGATATTATGAAAACCGCTTGAAAAATCAAAAAATGCCTTCCTAAGGTACCATTTAGACAATATCTCCTTTCAGAAATGGTGTCGCGCATACATATCGGAGCAAGATTTTTAGAAGAATTGCTGTACACAGTATAAAAAAAAATCTTTTAAAAATGTTCTTTTATTATAAATTTATTTTAAATGTCGATAAAAAAAAAAATTACCATGTACGATAATTTATGAGCTAATATATTTTAGATAGAAACTGAAGCATATTGTCTTTTAAATGATTTTTACGGAGAACTACTGTGAAATACTAAAAATAATCTATATAGAAAGTACCATCTGCGATTAATTTAAAATCTACAGAGAAGGTTACATAAAAGTTTTAGAGCATCGCATGGTCTGCTGACAGACATATAGTGAAAAAAGAAAGAAAAAAAAAAGGAAAAGAAATAATGTAATAGTTAACTGATTCAATTTTGAAGAAACGAGAATAGAAGTTTTAAAATATAACTTATAATATTTCATACAATATTACTGTTCTATTACAATTTTTATTTGAAATATTTTTTGATATTTTCAACACTTTTTACAAAAACGAATGTATTTTTCCAAAAAAAAACAGAAAAATCTGTTCTATGGTACTTTATTTGAAACATAAATCGACATTTTGCAACAGTTGACACCTTATGAATTATTTTTAGGAATTTAAATTTTTATCAATTTCTATATCTTATCTTTCTATTGGACACAAGAAAAAAACACTTAAATATTACTCCGCTCAGAATCGTCTTTTGTTTACAATGATTTATCGTAAGTATAAACTAAATGATATATGGTATAAAATCATAAACATATTTTTAGTCTTATGTATCCCACCTTCCAAACTATTGCCATAGTGCTGCCATCTACCCATGGTGCGAAGTATATATGTTAATATTGTATATACATTTTAGTTCAGAATACGGAAATGTGTAAAGTTTTACAAAATTTGTATACAAAATATAGGTACGTACGTTGTCTATTTTAGAAGTTTCAGATTTTTTTATTAAAATGGACTACACAAAAGAAAACATCAAGTCCTATATGAAGTACTAATGTTAAATTATTATTCATTTTCTAAAATCCAAACATTATTTTACTACCTTAACTTTTAACAATAACACATTAAATGTTCATTTTAGATTCCGAGCGTAGCCAGCGAGCCATTTGTTTTACTAAGATGTTTATTTTTTTTTCTTCTAGTCTGTGGACACGTTTTTTCCTAGTAAACTTACTCCGTTTTTTAGGTGTTGCAACTTTTCTCAAAGCACTTAAGTGGGAAAAAACGTAGGAAAACGTACAATTTCACGATTTCATTAATTTATAAAAACACGGACGACGTTTTCTACCAGAAAAAATGATTTAATTGAAAAATCGCAATACTCCTTATTTGTTGCCTTTTTGGTTTAATTTTTTACAATATCATCGCCAACATTTTTGAGCCACTTTTGAGCTTCTAAGTAATTTTAATTTTTGAGATTTTTTTTTGCTATAATTCTATTATAAATACACGTAGAGATGTAGAGAATTGAAACTTGATAATAATACTTATATTGGACTTACCTAGACGTAGTAAAATTTCCAAAATCTTCGCACGACTTTTTTTTTTAATAAGCGTTTTGAAATCAAATTCAAATGAAAATTGCGAAAAAAAAATACGACACTTCAAATTATGTATTAACAAACTGCGCTTGGAATCGTTTTTCGTCAGGCAATGGTTTATATCGTTGCTTACAGGTTTAAATGAAATAACTTTATGTATCCTACCTTCCCTAGCTTCTCACCTACAACAGACGCCGCTCCCATCCCCAGTATCAGCTCTCTTTTTTTTTTGTTACATCATACAATACAATTTATTTGAAACATTGCGATATAGTGTGTGCAGTGTGAATAATAAATTATTCAACGAAATATCTCCTCACCTCGTATTATTTAAGTGCGAAAATAAGAAATAAATCATTTGGAAAAATAATTACTCAAGTTTAATTATAACTAAAAATAATAACAGCTACCGCTTATTGTTTTGGGTTTGACGATTACGTGGTGTTTTACGATTAAGAATTTGTAAATGCATTAATTAATTCATATTTTATTTAAATTGTTTGTGGTTGGATTTCTAAAAAATAACTGTAAAAAAAAACCCCCATTGGAAACACATTATCTTTATTAAAATATATCTATAATAATTAAAATAAAAAACTGTATTTTTTTTATCGAGTATTTAGTTTTTAATTTATATTCTAAGTTTGATATTCAGCAAAAAACAAGTCGTAATTGTCCCCAACAATAATTGTGGTGTCTACGCAATCCATAATGACATATATAATATGAAAAATCTCACTTTATGTCACACCTAACCTAACCTATTTGCGTATTATAATAGTCGGTAGAACTATAAGTTCGGATAAATAACATTTCTCAGTGAGATTTTCGCATTGATTAATATACACAATGGCAAATCATAAATTCGTTAGAATATAATCGCTTAAGAAATGATCGTGACAATTTCATATACCGCGTACAACAATAATATAATATCCAATCTACACAGAGACGGAAACGTTCGTCGCATAATACGACGAGTAATTAAAATTTAAAGAACGGCTTTCTTTTTATCGATGCGCATTTTTTACGACTTAAAGTCTCATGGGATACAAGGGACAAAAAAAAAAAAAAATACGTATTCTTAGAGTTGTACTGTTTTTATGTTATTATGAGCCATACTCGATAGTTAAAATACGCCCAGTGTTCGGAAAGCCATATTATATAAATATATTTCTTATGGGATTTGAGTACTTAGTTTATATTATGGAAAAAAAAAAAAAAGAAACGACCAAAAATTGTAGTGAAAAAAATTTCCGTCGTTGTTGCACGATACAACAATAATTACAATTGAATAATTCGCTTTTAAAACCGTTATAATTTTTAAAAAAAACTTGACGTTTTTGAAGTGTTACGCGAGTGTTCGCAACTTGGCCCATCATTAGAACTAAATATTTACGGGGCGTTTATTCATCGGTTTCATTCGGATTGTATTTACGTATACTCGAAATAACAAACATCTTATGTCTAATAAATAAATCCATCAATATAAATGGATACCGACCATTAAATTGTATCACTGTACCGTTTCACTCGTTCGCATTTATATAACAACGCACTTATAGTGTCGAAAACAAATCGATAAAATATTATTATGTTCGCCCGTCACGAACTACAGGGTGTCGCGTGGTGTATTAAATTTCGGAGGTTCATCGTAAGACGGGACGTGCATATTATTGCGATACTGCAGCGGCGTGACGTACCAGTGTGTATAATTTTATGTTAAACGTCAATCGTCGTTTATCGTTAATCTCGAACGAGTATTCGCCGCTCATATAGAGCTGGATGAAAAAATATGCGCAAAACAGTGTTAATCGGTTTCTTTATGCCTAACTAGCTGTCCCGCGCCCGACGTTGCCCCGTGTCAATTTTTATTGTTATTATTTTACCAATATTAATTATTGGTTTTGGCCGTGTCAGAATCGACCGAAAACAAATAGATGGGAAGTGAGTAGGACTAAATGTGCTCTATTGTGGAATTTTAATAGTGCAAATAATAGTAATAACAATTGTAATTATTATTATTATCGTTATAATAGTTTTCGTTTTCGTAACACCAATGTAACCCTTGCATAAACAAAATTAAACAAATAATAAATTAGATATCCGTACCAAATATACATAAAAACCCCTGTTTCACCCCCTTCAATTTTCAAAAATTCTGTTTTATTGCACGGTGAAAGTATTGGAGAAACCACTATTCCAAATTTAAAGTGCGTACGTGTTGAGCAGTTTTTGAGATACATAGTGAGTCGGTGGTATTTGGATTTTATATGTATATAGATTGTAAATTTATTGCGTCCCTATAAAGATGGGTTGTAATAGAATAACAATATTTACCTACGTTCGTTTAGATATTTTTAAAGGCGCAATTTTCGGGAAAATGTCACGTGATATCAAAGTCCATATTGCAATTTCGTGAACGTTTCCCGTGGATATAAGCCAAGCGTTTGTTTTTATTTTTTTTTATTTGATATTTTTGGCACTTGAATAAATGCACGAATAAAATTTCCATTACACTTGTAATAGTAATAAATCATTTAAATAAGTGTCAGAAGTAACAAAAATAAAATGCTGATCTATTCATAGAAAGAATGAACTATTTACGATTCTCAGCAGAAAAAAAAAAAAATGTCCCCGTTCGTATACCTACAGACTATAGGTGCACCATAGTGGCCCCAAAGTCCTAAAAATGTAGTCGGGCGAAATGTACGTCAAGAAACCCGAATAACTAAACCCATTTTACGTCCAAAATTATAGTTAGCCTAGGTTTTTATTTCTGTAATGAAGTATTCATTCGGTTTGGTAAGTACGGTTGGTTTCGTATTGACAATTGGATAACTACAATTAGTGACTGTTTAACTGAAATAGTGGCCAAGAGTACAATCTTGGTACAATCTAGCACAATCTATATAATTTTAACAAAGACCAACACAGAGGAAAATTTCGAGGGGGAGGGAGCGTTGGTATTATATTATCATTTATCGCATATACAGATTACCGGAACCACAAAAATAGCTACAAGACTACATACGAACCTAAATTCACATTCTCGTAATTTTATTTTATCAGAACATTCTCTTGTTCAGTATGGGGATTTACAATTGTACACTTGTTAATCTTTTTTTTTTTTTTAATAATTTTTATCAACAATGGTATTCGATTCATTATCAGAATTTTATAAAAAAAAAAATAGATTTTTAATTAAAACATGTATTTCGTAAATTTTAATATTTAATACGAAATTTAATTATGACACAATTAAGTAGTTATTTGAGTGTCTATTATAAATGACTCAAGTGCATGCCTATGATTATAGTAATATTGTATTATTACCTACCAATGAATGTCTTCAACTTTAATTGCTTATTCACGCATAAATAATTTTCAATTTTTGAGCGGTTTTATTGGAACAAACAAACGTTACTCATATAAAAACCATGTACGAGTACAAATTCAACAATTCAAAATAGTTATGAATAATTTAAAAACTGTCAGAATATTTTAAAAATCGTACGGTTTCCAGAAAGAGCTATAATATAAGAATTTTGTGAAAATCTCAGGTCTCTACGATTACTCGTAGTTTTAAACTGAATTACAAAAAAAAAAAAAAAAAAAAAAAAACACAATCGAATAATATTCCCGTCATTTTTTACGGATTCGCGAAACAGATGAAATGTGTGTCCATTACATGGATCTAAAAACAGTTTACACCTTCCGATTAACGTCGATGAAATGGGGATAATTATTTGGCGACTAAATCGATTACACGTTATATACGATAACGATGCGCGTAATTAAAATTTTTTAGTACAAAATATATAAAACGGACATTTCGTTCGCTTTGAAATTCTGGAAGTGAAAAAAAAACCGAATATTAAATTAAATAAAACTTACGTCGAACTTAAATTATCTAATCAGACGACGATTGTTTTTCTTAATACTTCACAATCGAAATCAGTGATCGCTATTTCAGATTTTTTTGTGTGTCGTTTAAATAATTTATTTCGTCGCTGTGCAAGTTTTTTTTTCGGTATCACTTGTCCCGCAGTTATATACCTATTTATATATTTATACGTTTCCGGATTGAAACTATTCGAACGAGACATCAAAAGTATCAGAACCGTCAACGACGCCTGTATAGTGAACGGATTTATATTTACTGCTTTTATCTCACCCATCACTGTATACTCTTACTGAAATTGGAAGTAATGCATAATATTATAAAGATTTTAACAAATAATTGTTAACTACGTATACTAGTATTTTCAAATGCTGAAAATTCACTAGCCATTATTACTTTATTATTATTTTTTTTACTGTAAATCTTGCGAATAAAAAAGTATACCTACTTAGCCAGTATAATATTTCGCGATCGAAACGCGCGATTATTGCGAATAGATTTTATTGGCAAGATACTGTAGAGTACTATATTTAGTAATAGAGTTTTCCGGTCCGATAAGAGAATCGGTTAATCGCCGATCGATAATGCATTTCCTCTTAATATTTACCAGAAGAGTATTTCGATTTCACTCGTTTTATCTGCTTAACATCGAAATTTCGTCTATTGGTGTGCCTGGGAGTATAACGACAGAATGACACCGACTTCATAGATATAGGCACCTACCCTTTTTAACATATTTTTATATTTATGAATTTAAATTATTCAAATATTCACGATAAAATAACTAAGCGATTCATCGATTAAACAGTGAAACGATGTATTCGCCGCCGTATACAAAAATACATCGTACACTTGTCTTACAAGTTAGAGTAATGATTTATTTTATATTCTGAGCGAAACAAGAAATATATTGGTTAGGTATTACTATGTTTTTTTTGTGCCTATAAACAATTTTTCTACCTAAAATCTTGCACCAATCAATAACTTTATAGGGATTTTCTGGTAGAGACAACTTTTAGTTAGTGCATTGGGGAGGTTATTTTTTGATTTTCCTTGTAGTTTTCTTAATAAATAGGAAAATTGGTCATTTGTTGTATAATTATGGTTACCTTGGAAACAATAAAATAAATACGACTACCATAGTACTTTGCTCAGAATCGTTTTTCATTAGCAATGGTTCATCGTTGAGCACAGATATAAAAAAAAAAAAAAAAAACTATCCTCCTTTCAAAATTTTCTTCTAAAGGAAACATCACTGCTGATGGGTGTGCCCATTGTGCTACTGTTTTATTAATGGTATCATCAGTATTCCTTTGTGAACATTAGAACACATATTTCTAAATGTGTACAACGACGTTTCATTGTTGATCCGTTCCGATAGGTTATTTATTATTTCACGAAAAGTAAATATATAAGTGGTTTTGCATGTTAACCAACGATATCCGATTTGCGGCTTTCTTACAAAAAAAAAAAAAAAAAAAAAAAATACCAGTAAAACAATTCTGAGACGATAATATAACGTATTGTGCCAAAACTGGATGAATCTGCAGTGTTTACAAATAATTTTATTTCCGTACATGTATATAGATAAATAATCCGATCTAGTAAAACTTCGTTTACATTACGTACGTAATATAAACGAAACAATTATAGATCGGGTTTTTCGACGGCTACAATAAATTGATTCGGTTTGAAAAGATATATAATATTACGATTTGATTTATTGAAAAAGCTCCACGGTAAAGGTAGCTGGTGTTTAGGCAGGCCCGTACACAGAAAAAAACATTTGGGGGAGGTCCATAATTAAACGGAAATAAACATTTTGAACTGTAAAAACTAGTGATCGTGCGAATTAAATAATATATATATATTTACACACGTTTAGTAAGTTTAGGTTGAGTACGATTAAATAGTGACGGAGTATAGGAGTGCATGGGTTTCGAGACTTGAAACTGCGCCACCGTTTGTGGCGCGTTTGGAAATTTTTCAAGGTGGTAGGCGGGAGATCCGAAGACTTGTACTATCTCAAAACTGTTTGGTGAATAGGTGATTGGTTCCCCACGTAAAATTGCAGATTAAATAAACAGTTTTTACGTAAATAGGATATCAGTACGTATCCAGACCTGCAGGTAATCACCGCTCTGGCTGCACCACCGGTGTCCCGAATCCTTCCATACATTTTTTTTTTTTTTTTTTAGCCTGCCAATAGTTAATTGAACTTTACTTAACCACTGAAATGTTTTAATTCGAACTTGTCTACAACCGTCACTACTCGATATCCTCTTCCCAGGTTTTGTTAATTTTAATATTCTGATGCATCCGATCCGCACGCGCTAACAAAAACGTCCAAGGTGCAATAAAATTGCATTCGAAATTGTACATTTTAATTTTACAGTCGTATTGTTGCGCAGTTGGATTTATATATTTATCAAACATTTCAAATGTGTTTCACACAGTCCATATTGATATACGATATTATTGATTTTTCGTTTGAATAAATGGGAAGCGATTAGGACGCAGCACACTTATGTAGGTACACTCACTTGGTTTACAGTGAAAAAGGACTGGTCGCGGTCGTCGGGCGTCCCTACGCCGCCGATCGCGGACCCGTGTATGGACATGGTAATGTCGGGAGCGGCGCGTCCGCCGTGACAAACGGTCAGCAGCAGCAGCAGCAGTGGCGACGGTAGGTGGACGGCTGCGTAACAGCCGCCGCCCCCGTCACCGCGGCCGCCACTGACGCCGCGTTTCGGCCGCACGTTCACGGTGGCCGTGGTGCGGGCGTCGGGTCTCCGTCCGGTGTCTGGGCCGCGTGACGATGTCCGGCGTGGCGGTTCGGATGTGTGGCGTCCGTGTGCGCGACGGCGGCGGGGCGGTCGGTCGGTCGGCGGTCACACGCGTTGTCGTCGGGCGCGCAATCGACGGACATTAAAACGGGAGACGAAACGAGACCGGACGGTCGGCCGAGATCCGCGCGCATTTCTCCCTCCCCCACCTAAGCAATGCATACGTACACACATATTATTGTTATTACTATTGTACAACGAAAATAATATTATCGTTATAATATTATTGTCGTCTCTCTCTCTCTCTCTCTCTCTCTCTGTTTCGTATTTCTCGTCTTCTCTCACACGCATACGTAGACCGGCGCAGTCCCTTTTGTTCACGCCGTCGCCGCCGCAGGGGCTATGCCGCCGCATACCTCTGCTAACCGAAAACCCTTAAGACACGAAATAATAACACGTCGGCGCACATGCCGCAACTCGTTCCTCCGCGGACAAAGACAGTTCGATGCAATAATCATTTTTATTATTGACGCACTGCTGTTACACATGTCTCGCTAAAGTAATTAGTTATTACAATAAATTGTATTGTGCGAAGGGGCGTTATTCTTTTGCAAACCGTGATTCAGCTAGGTAGAAACTACCCTCGCGAAGTTTCGAGTAAAGTCGGTTCCGGATATTGCACTGTGATATAGAACCGTTTAAAGATCTTATTTACGGTGTTTAAAAAAAAATGTTTACTTTTATTGTTTCGTACACACAATAAAAACACATATATCCGGCTATCGCACACATTTACAAAAATAGCAACGAAAAACCAAACCAAATTCGAAAAGATGATATTTTTTATGCGATTGGTTTACCATCAATAAAAACGAGTGTTTTTTATGACGAGTCATGAGTCATAACCTCATATAATTTAAACTGGACTACTGGAGGAATAGAATATTCATTTATAACCTATAAGTGTAATAAAAAAAAAAAACAGAAAAGTTAGTATTGACTTTTTAAAATAAATAATAATATAATAAATAAACAATATAAATAATAATAAATGATGTAATAAATATTATTATCTTTTGTTTTTTTTTTTTTTTTAAGTCATCGTTTGTACGTTTAATGTGCGTATGTAATGTTTAAAGAATACACAGATTTTAAGAGGAATATAGAACCTGGGAATAATAATTTTTTAGATTCTGGGCAGAGCGAGGAGTATTTATTGTTTTTACAATGATGTTTATTAATTGTTTGTTATTTTTTTCTGTGAATAACTTTTCTACCGACAATTTTGCTCCAATTTTCAAGTATAGCACCTTTCTTAAAAGGAAATTTGATCGTGATGGTACTTTAAAAAGGTCATTTTTTTGTTTTTCTTTAGAGTTTTCATAATAAATGGGAAAAACCGTAGGAAAGACGAAAATTTATGAAATGTGTTATTTTAAAATCGTAAATATACTATTTTTCAAAACACGTACAACCGAACTCCGCTCAAAATTATTTTTCGTTAGCAAAGATTAATCACTACGTACAGACATACATTAAATTCCTTTCTATATCCTACAACAGTGATCCATACATCGTGCAAAGTATGTCCGTATCTTTTTTGTTTTTTGTTTACACCGTAATATTATGGTAATAGCTCGGGTAATAGTCAAATCTGAGCTTTTGATTTAGCAGTTTATGAAAGCCCATCATACACATAAAATGAAAGTCTGCGTGAAAAACAATCAGAGCGCAATTCCAATATATATCTAAACGTTTGATCCCAAAATGGACGAAATGTATTAATTGTAAATTACAATTTATAATTTATAAGTAAACCTCAATAAATTGGAAAATATGGTTAGAAAGTAAATTGGTTGGGATAAAATCGCTTGGGTAATTTTCGATTTGTATGTTAACATTCGAACCTTTTTAAATAAATAGCAAAATCACCTATGAGTATTCAATTAATTTCATTTATTAATATATTTAATATTTGAAATTATTTACCTTAAACAAAATTTTTTTAAAAAAAAAAAACAGAAAACTTCTAATATCTACTAAAAAATCGCTTAGAAATAGTCTTAAAATAGTCTCTGGAAATTCGACCACATCTAGAAAATGATATTATAAATGTTCGATAAAAATTTTAAATCTCTAATAATATTTTTAACCGAATTACAAAAAAAAAAAAAAATCAAAAATATTAGTCATTGCGAAAACTTTCCCGTTTCCTCTGGCTTTTCACAATTGCTAATAAGATAAAAACACGGAAAATCAAATAACGACTTCTGTAACGTTACCAACATTTGCTACAAAAAGTTATCTAGTTATTTTCGTAATGGAGCAAGATTTTTTGAAGAAAATTTATTCAGAGACAGAAAAAAAAAATCCATATAGTGTACTTTTAAATTTCACGCTACACTCAGAATCTTATATATTCCTCTAAAATTTATGAAACATACTAGAACAAAAAAAAAAAATCTAAATTGACGGAGAGTGGAATATTTGCATTTTGGGCATAAGTACTTGTACGAATTAATTCTAATTTAGTTTTCTTGTCGAAATAACAATGATAACAATAATACCGGTTTTTCCGAGATGTCTGGTTAACATTTTTTTTTTTTTTGCCGATTTAACGAGACCTCGTCGTAATTGCGTTATTCGAAGTAAAATCACGAGGTTGCCAATCATCTTGAATTAAATTTTAAATTCCGTCGTGATGTAATGGAGTGGTTCTCACTTTATTATTCGGTGGATATATAATTTCTAGTCGATTGTTCACGGTTCGTCAATATTGGGTGGACATTTATATCGAACGGAAACATAAAAGTAATTTAGACGAGTGATCATTTACGTGCTTTCAAATTCCATGTACTGCCGATAGTATAATTACGTTTGTGTGATCAATGGTCAAATTACGAAAACAAGCGAGAAAATTTTAATTTTCGCAAAATGCTCATATGCTGGCGTAGCCATTGATTCGCAACTCCGACGAAAATGCTGGAATACAGCAGTTGCTACATCTCGCTGTTCCGTGTCGACGTATACGCCTCGTCGACACGGTTATTTCCAGTACAACGTGAGTTATGGCGTTGAAAATCTCATATAAATAGTATTGAACTCTGCGGGTATTATGATATTTTGTAATACCATACGCAAACGCGGCGAAAGAACAGGCCGTAGGCGCACTATTTGATAAATCGTCTCAGCTGTCCGGTTTATTGTATATACGATAAAACGGATGTTATAATATACGAGTGTAACGACTTTTGCACTTAGAACGAAAATAGTGTCTGCATAATGCAAAATATTATACGCCTAACGCCCACCCGTTTAGAATTTCAAAAATGCAATAAACAACGTAATGGCGTGTTGTTTATGCAGGGGTTCTCGTTTATCACTATATTTTACGTTTTATTCTTGCGCAATTTGTATTTTATTAGTTCTCTAAAACCACGAACTCAAAAATTCCGCCTAAACGCGTGGATTGGGACGCGCGAACAGCCCGAATATACAAATGTTTTTTGTTTTTTCTGATCGAGCTCACACGATATCGATTAAAACGAAATTATGTATATTCAGTATGGTATTCACTTGATGAATATTCGATTTTAGAGGATCCGTCAGATAAAAGTATACGACTTTCCTTAAATTTTATATTACCGCCGGTTACGCTGCAACCGTCATTGCGTATATCAGTTTTTTTAGTTTTACAGGACGATCAAAAAACATTTTAAGAAAACATTTATTTTAAAATATCAAGAAAATAACACTTAACTCTATTTGCATGTGTTATTAGATGAGATGCACGGTTTTGATAAAAGTGCATGTCCCAAAATGATGAAATTATGGTGGTTTACAACGTCACCAAAAGTGTGATTATAAAACCAAATTATAGAAAAAGGCATTTTTGGAAATGTATGTTTTATTAATATCGATAGTAAAATAATTCGATCAAATTTCGAGATACGCGCCACAGCCGTATGAGCGAAGGTTTTCACTGATTGATTCCCTGCAATCGCTTGAAACACCCGTGAAAGACCGGCTCGTTACGTGGATAACATTATAACGCCTACCTATTGTGTGATAACGTTTGTTCAGTTCACAAAAATTGTCATTCGCGTTTACACACGGATTTCGTGATTTCGTGTACCTGGTGCCTATACGACCTTTGTAACCAATTCGCGTTTTTCAATTCTTTATCCATCATTTATCTCAACTTCCTACCATTTGTCCACCGATTTGGAATATATTTTTTCACCCAAGAAATTCGGACCGGATTCGGTGCGCCCGCTGAGAAAATAATAACACATTTTTTTTATATCGTCAATGTTGTCCGCGGTCGGCTCATCAAAGTGCCGCGTAATTCTTCTCGTTTCTCGCCCGCCCGTCTACAAATTATAGTACCGCCGTATGTGTGATAAAAAATATCACTCTCGCTGTGCACCGTCCGCAGTGCACAATACCGTGTCATTGTATTTCTAGACTAAATACGAATCATGAAATTTAATTGATAAACTGTATAAACAATATTATTATTATTTTCAATAATTCGTCAGTTCAAAATGTTATTATTATAATATATTATAATAAATTCATCGACTCGTTCGATAATCTCTCGAATAGACGATTGTACAAATTACGAAAAAAAAAAAAAAAAAAAATAAAAAAATCAAATAACGTATAAGTTCAGCAAATCATTTCGACAAGACGGCATCGTGACGATAATAACTCGTTATCGTATGAATCTATAAATGTACACGACGACTGTTGTACAAATTCTGCACAAAAAAAGAGTAAATATATTTTTCGTGTCCTACGATCTGTTTTTTCCGATTTTGTATTTTAAACCTCGATCGTATGCATCATAGTGGGCACTTTACGAACAAAGTATAATAACATTATATTCTTATAATGTTGCTTTTTTTTTTTTTACTAGGTAAATATATTGTTTTTAACAATAAAAAAAAAAAAAAACAATTTATTAATATTGTTATTATTAATACCAATGTATTATATTTGAATTTGCTAACTCTTTAGTGTAATATATTGTGTATTTATATTGATTGCTACAAACGATTTATACCCGATACACATGGAATATAGCAATCAATAGGCATCTGTGTACAGGCAGCGGTCAATCTGTTTCTCGTTTAATGTTCTTTGGAAATTTATTTTCAAGTACCTAGACGATGTTTATATATTTAATTTGTTTTCTAGATTAAATTTTAGGATTTGTTCTGAATTCATAATATTATGTATTAGTATTATTTATATAATAAATTATAGTTCTGATTACGCACAGTTCAGAATATCTGTGTATAGTATACCTATATAATGTACCTAGTAAAAACGCGATCGGGGTGGATATTTCTCTAATATGTAGTTCGTGTTTGAAAATCAAAAGTATGCACTTATTCGAGGTATATGGAGTAGGGTTGAAAAATGAAAAATGATTTTGAAATAAAGCTCAAACGATTCCATAATGATTAGAAAAAAACAGAAATCAAATTCACTTAAAATCCTCTGAGATAATTGCTGGTTCATGATAAACAAAAATCGCCCTGTATACCAGTGGTTTTCAATAATTTTAAACAATGCGGCACACCAATTCATATAATACGCGAAGCCTGCTATTTGTATAATATATATATACACAATACACATTGATTATTTTTTTAGGGAGATACCATTGTATTCTTCGGCGAATGTCAAACTAATCACCTCGTTAACTGATACACTGAATGGATTCCCCAACCAGTCATAGTCTTCAACATTTATGCTGGGAAAGTATTTCGTAATTTTATCTTTCAGGAACATGATAGATTCGCTTATTAACGATACGAGGCTGAAGTCTACATCTCGCTCGGCAATTCGCGGGAACATTATCAATTTTTTTTTGGCAATTTGAGTTTTCCACAGAGTTAATTTTTTATTGAAAGCTATAATTTGTCAGATGATATTAGGATATTTTCGTTACGACCTTGCATGCTTGTATTTAATTTATTAAAAAGTACAAAAATATCAGTTAAAAAGAAAACTTTTGTCCGCCACTTTTCATCTCCGAGAAATTCGTATTTTGATTCTTCTATTGTTGAACATACAATTATTTCTTCAAATCATAAAAACGTGATAATACCCGGACTCTTTATAACCGTCTTATTGTAATTTGAAAAAGTAACTTTGAGTTATTTGAATTCATACCTTCACAAATTTTTTCAAACAACCTTGGCTTTAGTGAACTACTTTATATATAATTTATCACTTTCACAATTTGATCCCAAACCTCAGGAAGTTGTCTCAGGAAGTGTAAACACAAAATTATTAAACTATAACAGATTTATCGCGGCACACTTCACGGGCGCTCGCGGCACATCGATTGAAAACCACTGCTGTATACTGTATCTCTTCATATTTTAATTGGTAAATAATAGTATATCAGTATCTATAATAAATTATTGATGTTCATATCTGTAATAATGTACGGGGAAATATTAGGTACTTATCTATACCTATTGAAATTATTAAAATATAAATTTTTAAAAAAAATAACGAGCATTGTCATTCAGAAATCGTAAACTGTAGGTATGGTTTTCGTAACAAGAGATTAAAAGAAAAACGTATAAAATTAAATTATTATTTTATACACATTTTTGAAATATCCAGTGTCTTACATTTAAAATGGATCGTTCTGTATAATGTATAATGTATATATATATATTTATAGGATGCAACTGTTGCCAAAGATACTTAATAATTCATATTAAACTATATTTTTTATGTCTAGTTCTTTAAATTATAATTTTACTCTTTTATTAAGTTAACGATATAAATTACTATGATGATCTCACGAATTCAGAACGTATTATAATATTATATTATCATCAACACTCTTAAATTCGGTAGTTTACATTATTTCCTCGGTGCCAACTCATTTTTGTTTTCATAATAATCGTACCTATATAAATGTGTGACCTTTAATTCGGTTTACTGATATTTATATTTTGCTCGCAAACACATTCTCACATTTAGTGAATTCACATTGTATATTGAATATCTCGGTTTTTGATAGTTCTCCCTCGTAAATTACTTTATTTTTCGATTCTTTAATAACACAATTACTTTCATCGTTTATTCTGTCTTGCTTGTCAAGATTTTTTTTTTTTTAAGTTTTATTTTCATTACCGATTTTATTCTGTTTTTGATTTAGGTAAGTAATTGAACTCACCTAACAATTAATCACGCGTATAATTCATAAATTACGTTTCAAATGTAATTCAAGTATTCGTTTAATAAATTTAGTATAGGTAAGTTGTTATTTGTTCAATTTTGAATCCAAATGACCACAAAGAAAAGCGTTTTTTCTAAGTAATTTTCATAATAATAAAATATTGATTAAATGAAATAATGCAAAATAATACAAAATGATATATTGTAATTTAAATTTTAACAATAGACTTTAATAAATACAGTCTCATTTATTTCGTTTACAATGTATACATCACAAGTGTCAAATATATTTCGATATACAATTTTCGTTTTCGTTTAATAAAAAACATAAGTGCATTCCTTGACACTCCTACCACTAAACTTTGAAACGAAACCAAGAGCCTAAATTTGTGCTGATATGAGCAGTTCCCGACATCTGTGCTTTTAAACTTTCCTATACAGACCTCTTTCATTAAGGGCGATGGGATAATAGTTGTATCCCCTTTCCAAATTTACAATTACCATCATAAGTCAGTTTTTTTTTTTATGCAGATTTATGCATGTTTAATTGTTAGCCCATATTAGTGTTATCCACGGACATTTTTGTTAAAAGATTATGTATTGGTTGCCCGTAGATATATTACATTAAAATACTAAACAGCTGATTCCCTATAGAGTATAGAGTATAGGTATATTCATGACGCCTGCAGGCGGCAATTTACACGTTGACGAATGTTTATAATCTATACTACTATATAAAATTAAGTAGCTTTTTTTTGTTCGGGATAAACTCCGAAACTACTTATTCAATCGTCGTGCAATTTTTTTTAAATTAAAGAGGACATTAAATTTTTAATGTTTTACAATCAAAATTTTTTTTATTAGTACACAAATACTGAATCTTTAGTTTCATTACTTTTATTCGTTTTATTAGTAGTAAAATATTCGTCTATTCTCTTAACTTTTCAGTGTAATAAAACTATTTTTTTTTTTTAATAAAAAGAATTGACAAAAAAAAAATATAACTATGAAAGATGAAACGGAGATGTAAAAAACACTTCACAGTAACCGGCATTCTCATAAATTTTCATATCTTAAAGCGTAAATTATTAGCATTACATTCCGCGTCTTTTGTTATCAATGACTATAAACACAATTGTACATACAAAACGGATGTAAACGATATTCTCTATAGCTATGGTAACTACTATATTAACTCACCCTATGATTACACACAAAAATTGCCCGATATCATTATTCCTGGGTATTTTTTGGCACCGCTGTTTAAAATACCCAAAGTATATAAATAATTGAGTAAATTAACAAATAATAAATATCATGGGTATAATATACTATATTATTTTATTACCTATAGGCTGATTAAAACATCACAGTTAAAAAATCCACCCATCGTACCCCTCCCCTAAATACGCCACTGTATTATACTTTAACAAGAATATATAACAAGTAACAATGTCAAAATAAAAAAAAAATATTCAATGTACGGACGGATAGGGCATAAACAATAATTTATAACAGTAATTTATTGTGAATGTATGCGCGTCTATTGCAGTTTAAAATGCAATGTTATGTTAAAAATGTTATCTGTGGTGACTGGTGGGTGGGTTAGTGAACCGCAGTTATTTTAGCGGCAGGCGTGAGATATTGTTTTTTCGTCAACGTTACTCGGAACCCCTAGGATGAGAATTAGCATAATTAACCATTAGATTACGACAAATATGCTTTAAGGAGGACAATATAGAGTTTGTACACAGGATAATAAAAGAAAAAAGTAATCATCTGAGTGAAACCAATACATTCTAAGTTACACTTAGAATTTAAAATAAAAGTTAAAAATAAAAAAAAAACATGTTTAGGTTTTTGTAAGTTCATTAAAATAAGTTTGGATCAATTGATTTATCAATTAATCAATCTAAAAATTAATTCCTTCACTACTATTCTATATTGAAAGTATAAAGCATTATTTTTCAAGTTAGAATAGTGACGACAAATAAAACAATAATTAAAATTCACGCGCGCATTTGTAATGATATGCTATTTAAGCTATCATACATTATGTAAAATAAAATATTATAAGTCAAACAATTAACAACGGAAATTATAGTTAAACATTTACATCCGATGCCATTCTTTTTTCTTATCAAATAACATATATTTTAGTGCGATATTTACTCATCGTAAGGAGATAATACTTAAGCTATCATATATAATTAAAATAAATTATTTAGTCAATATTGTAAAATAATTATATTAATTTGTAGCCATTAATTATTAGATTAAGTTGTTAGTATTAACCAAATTAAGATAATACATTTACACACGCACACACACACAGATCTCCAGTTATAAGGAGGCCGGACACTTCTAATCACACACAGTGTATGTATTGTTCCCGTTGCTTTTGGACAGATGATCACAAGCGAGTGTAAAAGACTACGCAGAGATTCTTACAAAAGCACGGGAACCTAGAACAGTGTTTTATATTTTAAAAAAAATTAATAAAAAAGAAACAGTTGTTATATTAAAAATCTTTTTATTTACTACGGTCACCTATATCAAATTCAATAGATCAATTTGCCGCTTGGAGAAGAAAGGTAATCAAATTTATAATTAATTTATACGTTTGAATCAATTTACATAACTAGGCATCTCCCGCCTTATTTTTGTATTACTACACATTATCAGATTATCTAAACTGAAAATGGTATGATAGGGGAGTTGCGTGCGCTACAGCCAATTTGCCAAGCTACAATGATACGCTAAAATTCGTTGTATAGTGTGGACATGGCTTTATCGAACGTGAAAGAACATTCGATAAGGTTTGGCAAAGCTTCGCGGATAATTTTTTGAAAAAAAGCACATCTTTGTAACAACGTAGTACAAAGTAGATTGCGTGAAGAAATTAAAAAGTATATATAATCAATGGAAAGGTCGTGAATCTGAAATGTATAAAACTAAAGTGAAGGAATTTGAGCAAAATGTAGACAATTTATTCGACATAGCACATATGATCGCTTTAGACATGTTAACAACAGAGCCCGGAGGAATAAAAATACGTCAACCCGGTGCATATTATCAAGTTAAGTGGACGGCAAAAGGCATTTATTGCTTAAAGATATTTTTTATTAAGGTAAGAGTTCAAAGTTACTAAAGCGAAAGAAATTGCACTCGGACGAATTTGTACGTTCATAATTAAAAATTATATTAAACCATTGTCTACTGCTACAAACGTGAGTGAAGCTCCGTTTTGTATGCTTTTTGTTACAGATTATTCAAAAATACAGAAAAAGATATCCAACGTACACAAAATATGCAACGACAGCAAAATTTTAATATATATTACAATAATTATTTTTTTTTTTTCATTTTTTATTTTATTAATACGATTGAAATAATTTTATTGGAATGATAAAATATTTTTTTTTTCGATTTTTATAAAAAATAATAGATTTACGATAAATTGTATAAATACCTTTTTTAAAGACAATATTTTGTTCTACAATTAGGGTTCAAAAGGTTTTTTTTTAAATCATATATTTTTAAACTTATGATGGAAAAAGTGTATGACGCGTGAATTTTAATTATTGTTTTATTTGTTGTCACTATTGTAACTTGAAAAATAATGCTTTATACTTTCAATATTGAACAGTAGTAAAGAAATTAATTTTTAAATTAAGTTATTCAATTATATGGAAAAATTGATATAATTTATTATAAATATAGAAAGAAGGTGCAATTATTACCCCAGTATCCTCAAAGAAAAAGGCCTGTATCTTGGAAAGTTTTAAAGCTAAATTATTGAGTACAACGGGATGAATCAATAAAAAACTAAAAATGCTCTTGACTCGTTCAAAATTAAACGGTCAAGATGTTAGGTGAATGGATCCAACTCAGTGTGATCAAAATATTCCTGAGACTATACTTATTACTTTTTGCCTCATTCTTCTATTTAATAACCGGTCGCTTTCCAAATCACGATCTTCCTCCGTTGTTCCATCGAGTTCTTCAATTGTTATAGGTTCGACTTCTCCATTATTTTCTTCTCGTTTAATACTAAAACCGGATAGTGAACACGGTAAAAGTAATTTAACGCGTTCGTAAAGCGATTGGACATTTGTCCAATTGTATTCTACCACCGTTCCACCGCTTTCTCCGTCAGTTATTCGACCCTGTCGAGTAAAACCTGAAATTAATTTCGATGTTATTGATTTTAGTCTATCGCTTAGTAGTCTAATGGTTTTTAAATTGCGTTCTTCAACTGCAACGCCTTCTTCTTCACTTGGTTGGTCGTTTAATTTCCTTTCATTTGGGCGTTTGTAGTGGATATAGTACGCAGAATACGCTACGAAACATAATCCTGCAGTTCCAACAGCGGCCGCCGCTACGTTGCATATAACTTTAGTTGCCATATCAGTCAGTATGAAGTCGTATTACTTTTCTCGGAAGTTACAAGTGGACTTCTAGTTATCAGCGTACTAGAGAACAATAATTTTACAAAATCGATTAGTTCGTCGTCCACGTCGCGTACAAAAAAATCGTATTTAAGTAATAAGAGTAAACGACAACTTGATTACTTTTAAAAATCGAAAACCTCTGGAACTTTCGAGTTAAAATTGTTTATAATAATTAAAATCTTTTTGTTGATTATAAAAATATTTCTTTTACCTTGAATGTTTTGTTTGAAATATTATTTACCTATTCTATTATTTTCTATAGCAACGACAAGACGATGTTTTTTCGCATGAAACGATAAAAGCTGTATAATATAATTTCGACGAGTATGAGAAGTAATTCTTAATTTTCTAAAAATCGTTCGCGCGAAAACGTACGCGANATACANTTCTTCTAAAAATATTTCCTCGGACTTGACAAAAAATTAATTAAAATGTTTTATTGCAATTCTCTTATTATATATATAGGTATACAATAATAAGATATTAGTAATCGTATAAAGGTAAAGTCGTATTTTGTTTACCGGAATCTCGTTGAAATCTTAAGGTTTTGAAATAATATGAGTAAGCGACAGCAGACTATGATTGATGATGAAAAGTATTCGTCTTGAACTTAAGAGTAGAAATTCTTTAGAGTAATTATAAACTTTTTGTTTATTATTAAAACTATTTCTTTCACCTTGAATGTTTTGTTTGAAATATAATTATTTACCTACTCTATCCGTTTCTACAACAACGTTCAGACGATGCTTTTTCGCATAAAACAATAAAATATGTATAATATAATTTCGACGAGT